CTCAGGGAGTATTAGACAGTATGTACTGTATGTACTGCCATGTGTATCTGATAAAGGTCTGAGTAACTGTGAAGAGCTTTTCTGAATGTCCTCATCTCTCATGTGATGAACCTGGCGGCCCATATCAGCAGGATGGTTAGCACACCAGAGCTAACAGGCCACATCAGATGTAGGATAATGTGTAGGTGTCAGTCTGAGCTGAGCTGATGGAGGTCATACACATGTCTGCCCACCTGCACATCCATCAGCCACTGACTGCATCTCTAAAGGGCAGTTAAAGAGATGCTATTCCAGTACTGGCCTGAGGGGCACCTGGAGGCTCAGGTTTCACCCCAAACCTGCCAACTGCCCCAGGTGTGTAACAAATTAAAGTTTAGTCACACCTCAGTAATATTCTTCTTACACTTTGATGAGAATATTTTCTTCAAATCTGTATCTGTCGAAGCCTCAGTTCAATCAGAGGCTAATATTGTTACATTGTTGGTGAATAAACCAATGTTCATTCATCCACCTTCCCTTCTTTCTCTGACCTGCTCAGGAGGACGACTCCTTATTCTAACACATTTCTCACCACCACCTGTTCTGTCCTGTTGTACTGACTGCTTCAATCGCCTGATTGGCCAGACCAGTCAACCATGATCTGAGTCACTTCCTCATTCAGCTTTAAATCTTCATCTATTTCTGTTTAAACTTTACTGCTCGTCCTTGTCCTGTGACTTATATATTTATTTCTTTGCTGTCTACCAATCCAAAAAAAAACAAAAACAAAACAGGAACTTGACACAGGAACCCTGTGTCAGAATGTTCTGGAATTAGACATTCTACTGATCACTGACACTTTCAGCTATTTATAGGCAAACATTTCATAACCTGACGTAACTTTGAGATCCTATAGTTGTATGAAGTTACACAGAGTTCCAAAGAAACTCGTGGTTATATCCACAGTATCTTTTAGCTGTTTGATGAGGCCATAGTTATATTTAGTTAACCTGAAGTGATCAGTTGGCTGAGTCAACTGACAAAATGAAATAGAAATGATCAGACTACACAGAGTTCTGATGCAACTGGTGGTTATATCCACAGTATCTTTTAGTTGTTGGTTTTTGTTTTTTTTTTTTGAGGAGGAGGATAACAAGTATTCACTTCAGTGATCTCAGGTTATATTTTAGATAACTCAGAGTGAGATAGCAATTTTTTTAACCTTTTTTTGTTTTGTTTAAGAATTTTAAGAGCTGCACAGACACACACACACACACACACACACACACACGTCCACAGCTAACTCCACATCTTGGAAAAGTGTTGAGAGCCTCTTTAGGGGGGAACAGAGCACACACACACACACACACACACACACACACACACGCACACACACACATATTGTGTGTCTAGCTCTTGTGTGTCTGGATGTCAGGGTGGGGGTGTGTGCAGGTGGCTCGCTGCACTGTTCTGCCAAGAAAGAAGAATACCCCGGGGTGAGTTGGAATAAATGAAGGAGTGGAGGAGTGCAGCAGGGGGAGGAACAGAGCGTGGTGAGGATTTGATTTAGAAGCTGCTTATCATAATCGATTACAAGTTGTTTTTTCCTTGGTCTCAGCACCCTATGTTTTGGGTGGGGTCTACGTAGACCGGGCCAGGCCGGATGACTTCATTGCCATATGGTGTCTAACCTCTTCGTCACACTCATTTACAACAATATTCTCCATACCCATGCTCCAAACACTCCCTCTGTCAGGAGTGTAGCACAGAGTCATCTGATAAACCCAGCCCTGGTCCTCACTCAGACTCAGATCGGGTTTTCAGACGACCAGCTCTGATGAACAACTTCCTGAGAAGTGGAAAATGTATCAAAGTCACAACAACTTCACCATCTGCAGTTACATTAACTACAGCTGATGGAGGCCACTGTTAACACGCTCTGAATTTGACCCTTCAGCCCCACCACCTTCAGAACTTCCTCAATTATAGTACACTCTGGAGTCAAAGCTGCCGGTTTGTTCAAAACCATTAGAGTGTGACAGTGTTTTTAATTAGAACAGTAGGTGAGAAGATATTTACTGAAGATACGTTATGATAAAATCACTGATGCACTCCGTACATTACAGGTTAAAGGTCGTGTCACTGTGACACTGCACACCACCAAATGTGACCTCTGACCTCTTTTAACTCATCACCAAAGTGAGCAGTGTTAAGCAGTGTGTGGGGACGGTGCCATGCTCAACTTGGCAGCTGGTGGACTCCAACCTGAAACCTTCCAGACCCAAGTCCGCCTAGCCACCACTGCCCCACTGATTAAGATGACTGAAGTTTGTTGCATACATTTGTGTTGTTACCTCAACCTACACTCAGACCTAAACCTCTACAGCAGGACTAGGTTACTGTCATATTGTCACGGTGTGATTTCTAAACATCTGATTCCTGATTTAACAACTTGAATTAATAATAATCCATTCACCACCTGTTTAATTTCAGACCCTGTGGCCAATTATACGGTTCAACAATTACCCTACTTGGTAAATAGAGAAACGTGAACCTGAATATACAAACGAAGCCATGACCACACGTCTGATGCAGTTCTAGAGGAAGTGTTGGCGTGGCATGAGAGAACTTAATAAGTTTGCTTAGAGCAGAAAATGTTTTCACACTTGAGCAGCCGAGGCAGGCAGAGAGAAGGCTGCAGCCGCAGCAGCACTCGACTCCTACTGGTTACAGCACAAAATGTGGAATGCATTACGGAAGTGATAAGAGCTGAGGACAAAGTCACAAACAAACACATAAATTCGCCACAGATAGACATAGAGACGTTCGCAGAGACAGGCAGGCACCCTTCTGCCATTGCTCTCGTTTTTTTTTACTCTACATCAGCATTTCTCAACCAGCGTTCAATCAGTGCCACAGTTCTCCTCTCAGCACCTAGTTCTCTTTTTAAAGACACAGTCACACTGACACCTTGCTGCTGGGACCGACCCTGTCGCTGTTCTTTCACTTTAGGATATTGTCTGGAACACGTTTCCTGTTATTAAAGATGTAATATTTACTCAACACCTTTATTTCCAGAACCATCATCTGATTTATTATGACTGAATTAACATGTTTTTCACACTAATCTAAATGATTAAATTATGTATTTGGAAAAATGTAAATAAAATATGCAAAAGTGTGACTGATAAGTGTAGTTTCATAGGGTTGGTGGATTTCAGTCATTAACGTGCGTCTTGACGCTGGCTTTCAGAATGCATCTTTAAAACTGCCGTCCTCAACAATATTAATCAGTCTACGGTCTTTCACAGTCTATTTGACAGTCAGCGTGTGAGCGGTGTAGTTAGCTCTGATAATAATTTATTTACCCTTTAACATAGTACATTTATTTCTTCATAAAATATATAAAGTTTTAGGAAATACAAAAACAAAAATATCACAGTAGAAAGTCTGGAAAATAGCAAAAATGTGTCGAAAAATAGTGAAAAATTTTAATTTAATAAATCTGTCAAATAAAAACACACTTAAAAACAACCTGAAAATACGTTTAAATCTGTTTAAATCGGAAATGACAACAATGTGATGATGAGTTATACAAATGGTCCAAAGATTCATGATAACAGTAGAAGTCATTCAGATGAAGTAGACAGAAGTATCCCTGAAACTGTGAAAAGTACACTGAAGGTAGTAAATCAGTGTGTGTCTGACGACTACTTCACAGTGAGTGAAGGAGGCACCTGTTTGATGAAACACTCCTAAAGCCAGTGTGTCACAGCAGCTCTCCTCAGACTGATGAACATGACCAGAACACGGCTCCGTGTCGTTTGTTGGATCGCTGAAAAGAACATGCGTGCAACTCATGGCTGCTGTTCAAAAAGGTAACTTTTTCAACCGCCCGGTGTCGGAGCGTCTGTCAGCCGTTACACTGAGCAGCGGCCCTTTAAAGTCAGCCTGAATACCTGTCTTTATAAGGCAGTATTTGCTGCTGCGCACACACACTGGTGACACATTGATCTGCAGACCGGGCCGTTCTGGTGCTACAAAGTAATGTATGTGGACAGATGGAGGATGAGGAGGACGAGGAGTGTGGCTTGACTCCGCCACTGTCTGTGGAGGGTTAGTACAGTCAGGAGAAGAGACGGGGACAAGGAAGAGTAAAGAGGAGACCAATCCCAGGATGTCAACACGGAGTCCACGTTTTTACTACTTTGACTGAGACACAGAT